CTGGAAGTTTATTTTGTGGTTTTGTTGTTGTTTTGGTTTTGTGTGTGTGTGTGTGTGTGTGGCTCAGGTAGAGTTCAGATGTTTTTGTTTTCAGCTGCAGGAGTGATTCTGAAGCCTATTTCATGAGTTAAAGGAGGGGATAAACCTCTGTAAAATGGACTGTGATTGCAGAGAAACATGTTTGAAAACAAGGACCATAGGCTGACTATAGTGCCCAGAAAGGTGGGGTGGCTGCCGCTGTGCTAGACGCCTGACCATGGCTACTTAATATGCATGTTCAAATTACTTCTATTTTAAAAAGTTATTATTACGTTTTTCTCTTCCCGTGATCTTATAGGTTATACAAGGTTTATAAAATTAAAATTTTAGTCTCATTTACTTATTAGGAATGCAGTGGAAGCTGTCATTATCAGAGTTGAACTGAGAAATGTTCGGTATGGCACCAAGGGAATTGGTGTGCAAAATACAGAATCTTGCACAGCTTGTGCATAGCACTTACAGTCTGTTCCCGTGGGTAAGATGAGCCAAGAAGAGAGTGCAGCTGCTTACGATTTGCTTAAACCAAAACACTGAAGGTAGAATGAGTTCTGTTCTTGGTCCTGTGCTAGGCGGTGGAGATAGGAGAAATGCAAAAATAACAATAGCAATGATAATAACTGCCAACACTTATTAAATCGGGAACGCCGAATGTGTCCCAGCCATTACTCAGGCAGGCAAGCCTCAGACTCACTCTGTAACCAAGAATGTCTTGAGCTTCTGATATGCCTGCCTCTACCTTCCAAGTGCTGGAATTATAGGTACATGTTACCATGCCTAGAGTTTTGCAGCGCTTAGGAGCAAATCTAGGGCTTTATGCATGTTAGTCAAGCATGATATAAATTGAGCTCCAACCCTCAACCCTTAAAATTATTCCCATATTCAATCTGAAGAATTTAGGGATTCTATTGCCTTTTTTTCCCCCTTCAGTGTCTTGAGTCAAGGTATCATTATGTAGTTCAAACTGACCTCAAACTTTCTCTGTAGCTTTGTTGCTAGGACCAGCCAAACTCAAGGCAGTCCTATGTCAACCTCCCAAGTGCTTGGATTATAGGTCTAACCACCACACCAACTCACACCTGTTTGAGGGGTGGAGGGATGTGCACATGCTCATGAAGTCAGCAGTGAGTGTCTCCCTAAGTTCTCCAACTTTTCCTGTTTTTCTTTCTTAAGACAGAGCTCTGTCTGGCACAGGATCTTTTATTGAATCTGGAACTTTGGGATTCAGTCAGTTTGGCTGGCCAGTGAGTTCCAGAAAGCCTCCTGTTCCCACCTCCCCAGCACTGACAGCTCAAACACTACCACACTTGGCTTTTTTTTTTTTAAGGGGACCAAATTCAGGTCTTCATGTTTGCAAGTTAGACACTTTACTAACTGAACTGTCTCTCCAGTTCCCAGATAGCTTTTTAAACAAACAAACCAAAAACATTGGGTCTCATATAGCCCAGGCTGGCCTTGAACTGCAGTGATTCCGCTTGTCTCATGGTTGGGATTTCAGATGCCCAGCTTCTATGGCATTCCTAATTCACAGTTGAAAAAAGTGAGTTTTTGAAACATTAAGTGATTTTAACTTGTTACACAGTTACCTCCTTTATAGGATTGTATGGAGATGAACAAATACAATGCCCAGAACAGTGTCTGTTATATATTAAATGCTCAGTAAATACTAGATGCAGTTATGGTTATTGAAGCACAGAGTACTGTGTATTCCCTGTTAGGGCCCATGTCTTTCATGATAGAAAAACACAGTGTCCTTCTAGCAAAGACAGATATTCTAGTGAAGAAGAAAAATAAAACAGTAAAAGGGATTGGTTGGTTTAGTTTTGATACTGTATAATGTGTTGGGGATAAAATGATAGAAAAAATATAGATGGGGTTGGAGAGACGGCTCAGAGGTTGAGAGCACTGGCTGAGAGCACTGACTATTCTTCCAGAGGTCCTGAGTTCAACTCCCAGCAACCACATAGTGACTCACAACCATGTATAATGAGATCTGGTGCCCTCTTCTAGCCTGCAAGCATACATGCAGGCAGAACACTGTACATGTAATAAATACATATTTTTTTAACTTAGAGATGAAAATCTCATTTTGGGGTAAAGTTCTTGAGCTGTCTTGAGAAGATGGGTGTGGCACACACAAAATGACAAATGAGAAGAAACAACTGGCGTTCTCATTCATTGCTTGTAGGAATGAAAATAGTACAGCCATTTAAGGAGGTAGTTTGGCAGTTTCTTATAAAACTAAGCATGTCTTATACAATCCAGTAATCATGAACCTTGGTATTTATATAAAGGAGTTGAAAATTATGTCCATGTGAAAACTGCATAGATGTTTATAGAAGCCGTATTCATAATTACCCAAACTGTAAGCCTCTAAGATGTCCTTCATTAAGTGAACAAATAAACCAGGGGATATTCACATGTGAAATGGGTTTCAGCGGTGAAAAGAAATGAGCTAACAAGCCATAAAAAGATGGGGAGGAAATTTATATAAATTAAGAAATGAAAAAGCCAGTCTAAAAGCTGACATGCTGCTTGCTTCCAACTGTGTGACATTCTGGAAAAGCACGGTGGAAGCAGTAAAAAGATCATTGGGCAGGTATGGGGCTCACACCTTTAATCCCAAAAGTGGGGAGGCAGTGGTATGCCTCAGTGAGTTGAAGGCCAGCCTGATCTACAATAGTGGGTTCCAGGCTAGACAGTGCTATACAGTGAGACCCTGCCCCACCCCAGGATTTTTAGGGCAATCAAACTTATAACCACTGTCACATAATGATCTAGCCCAAAACTTGGTGGCTCAAAACATTGGTTCTTAACCTGTGGGTCTTAACCCCTTGGGAGCTGGGGAAGGTCAAATCATTCTTTTACAGGCGTCACATAAAAGTGTCAGAAAACGGATATTTACATTGTGATTCATAGCAGTAACAAAATTAAGTTTATGAACTAGCAACAACAATAATTTTGTAGTTGAGGGGGGTCACATCATTGGAAAGGTTGCGAACCATTAATCTAGAGTCACCACTCCAGTTGGACAGTCTAAGATGGCTTCTCTTGTACATCTGTTTTTGGCCATCAAAGAAGTAGTAGTAGTAGTAGTAGTAGTAGTAGTAGTAGTAGTAGTAGTAGTGTATGAGCGCCTGGCTATTGGCTAAACTTCTTCACATGGCAGTAGAATTCTAACAAAGGTAAAAGCTGTGATGGCTCTCTAGACCTAGGCATGGCAGTCTATTTCACGGCATTCTATTGCCCCCAAAGAAATTAGAAAGCTATTCTAGATGCATTGTGGGAAGGAAATAGACTCTACCCTTGATGGAAGGACTGCAAAACTTTGTGGGCTTTTGCAGAGGGGAAACTATCACTGATAGATGATGTCAGGATCAGTTTAGGATGTGTTACTCGGATCCTTTGGTCTTTTGTTTTGCCTAAATAGTATTTGCTCCAAATTTAGTTATTCAGCGCTCCTTGGTTGTCCTTATTATCCTGTCTTTAAGCTTACATACATGTACCCACACACACTGTTTCTCCTAAAAAGGACAAAAATAAATTAAAATGAAAGCAACTTTTCAATAGTTACTTGAGTTTTGAAAACTGAAGGACCAGACCATTTTGAAAAAGAAAATATAAGGTGCTGGAGAGATGGCCCCACAGTTAAGAGCACTGGCTGCTCTTGCTAAGGACTTGGATTCAATTCTTTTTTTTTTTTTTAAGATTTCTTTATTATGAATACAACAGCCTGCCTCCATGTATGTCTGCACGCCAGAAGAGGGCACCAAATCTCATTATGGATGGTAGTGAGCCACCATGTGGTTGCTGGGAATTGAACTCAGGACCTCTGGAAGAGCAGTCAGTGCTCTCAACCTCTGAGCCATCTCTCCAGCCCTTGGATTCAATTCTAAGCACCTGCATGACAGCTCATAACTCCAGTCTGTAACTTTAGTCCCAAGGGATCCATTGCCCTCTTCTGGCCTTCATGGACATCGGGCACACATGTGGTGCTCAGAAATACATACAGACAAAACACTCATACACATAAAATACATAATAATTTAGGCGTTTTTTTTTTTTTTAATTAGACATGGTGGTGCCCAATCCTAGAGATTGGGAGACCAAGGCAAGGGGATTACCATAAATTTGAGGCCAACCTGGACTGTAGAGAAAACTCCAAACCAGCCTATACTCTATTCGATGTACAAAAACAAAAAACAGGCTGGCTGGTGCACACCTTTAATCCCAGCGCTCAGAAGCAGAGGCAGGCGATCTCTCTGAGTTGGATGCCAGCCTGTGAGTTCCAGGGCAGCCCAGGCTGCACAGAAAAACCCTCCTCAAAACGAACAGAACAGAGGTTGAGGACACAGTGCAATGGTTAACAGTGTGTGTACTATTTTTCCAGAGGATTCATGTCAAGGTCTAGCATTTCATCTCCAGGGGACTCGGACACCCTTTTCTGGCACTGCAGTCATGTGTGCATGTGCAAGCAGGGACACACGAACATACATACACACATTCAAAGTATTGATTGAATATTTAAAACGCAATATTTTTTAATATTCTTAGGAACTTGAGCTTGATTAACAGGAATAATGGAGAACAACTCAGAATTCTGACTTATAATAGACAAAGGTTTTGTATTGCCACATCACTTGTTAGTGTTTAATTAGATTGCTGGTTTTAACTGTTTTATTGTATAGTTGTTTAAGTTGTGACTGTAGTACTAATTCCTAGGAAAATTATTTGATTAATATTCTGTTCAGGTAGACATCTGTGACTGAATACCTTTTAGAATTATCTGAAATACTGAATGCATTGATTCTGAATTGGTTGTTTTTACTTCTATCTAACTTATCAATACACAGCAGATAAAAATGCAATTTTCTCTGACTGTGTTGGTTTATTATCCTTGTGGTTGCTATTTTATTCTGCTTTCTATTCTGAAAGACTCCTTAGCCTTTGTTCATTAATCATAGGAAACAGTTGTGCAACATGCCTTGACATTGAGTTGAACATCTAAAATTAGTCCTGCTACAATCAGCAGTTGGGAACAGGATTTCAGCAGTGTATTGCAGTGTTAAGCAGACACTGAAGAGTTAGAAGGAACTCCCAAGCAGTAAGTAAGTGATTTATGTTATGTCTGTGTCCGTTTATTTACTTAAACATATAATTAAAAACATCAAACAAATGAACAAATTATAATTGTTAGCTCATATGCTATATATAAAATACCTTTGCTTATAAACTCTACTGTTTAATGAATCATTTCAGAAGAAACGTACATAGGAAACTTGAGATGATAAACATTTTTTGCATATTTGTCGATGTTTTAGGGTTTGTTTTTTGCTTCGTTCTTTTGTTTGTTTTTTGGTTTTTCGAAACAGGGTTCCTCTGTGTAGCTTTGTAGACAAGGCTGGCCTCGAACTCACTGTCTGCCTCTACCTCCCGAGTGCTGGAATTAAAGGTGTGTGCCACTACCGCCCGGCAGTGTTTTAATTTGTAAAGGAATATTCTGTTGACTTCATATAGATGACTTCTTTTTCTCTTTTTCTTCAGAGTTCATATAAACCTAGTCGCAAAAATGGCATCCTGGTTATATGAATGTCTTTGTGAAGCTGAACTTGCACAGTATTATCCTCATTTTACTGCACTTGGTCTTCAGAAAATAGATGAGTTAGCCAAGGTTACAATGAAGGACTATTCCAAATTGGGAGTCCATGATATGAATGACCGCAAACGTCTTTTCCAACTTATCAAAATCATTAAGATTATGCAGGAGGAAGATGAAGCCCTTAGTAGCCCAGAGCACCCTCTTCAGACAAGCAGCCTGTACAGCAAGTCTCAGGAATTTAGATCTGGTCCCCGAAGACAACTGCATTTTGATTCTCCTGCTGGTAGCAAAGCCAGAACAGTCTGCAGCGAAGTGTGCAACTTATCAGGCTTCTCTGTAGAGGAGCAGAAGTCGAAAGTGCTGGGACACATGCTACCTGATGACTCCCAGGACCGGACAAAAATAAGAACCCTGAATGCCTCTGCTGCTGGTGCTTATATGCAAACAGAAACTGACACTCCCCTCTTTTCATCAAATTACTTTTCTCCAAAACTAGGAAATGGTGATATCCCTGTTATTCAAAGAGTCTCTCATGTTTTGGGGTATAACTATGGAATCCCTCATTCTTGTGTCAGGTAATTATTTTTACATTTTTGGGAGAGGCAAAGATAGATTTCTCCTTTGTGACCAGAGGAGTACAAGTACTCTTTATTCCCAGTAATTGACTGTAACATATGAATGATAGTTAGCAAGTTTTGCATTAACAGTCAAGGTAAGTGGGTAGAGACAGAATAATGAGAGTGGAGCTTTCCAGATAAACAAACAACTGCTGCTTCCCAGGGTCTGCTGTCTATGTAGCATGACACACCTCGTATATTCTTCTTCTTCTTTTTTTTTCTCGAGACAGAGTTTCTCTGGATTGCTTTGGGGGCTGTCCTGGAACTCACTCAGTAGACCAGGCTGGCCTGGAACTCACAGAGATCCACCTGCCTCTGCCTCCCAAGTGCTGGGAGTAAAAGCGTGCACCACCACCCAGCAGGATGTTCTTTAAAGGCCATCAAATTCATAGGAGCCAGATGCCCTACAGCTTATGTAAGGCCAGAGAGCAGGTAGTTAAATTAAGTAGTTCTTTGAACAAGTAGGATGGTCGTCTGCACAATTGAAGTAGGATCCTGAAATTGACTGCGATTTTTTTTTTTAAATGCAGCTCTGGAAAAACAGATGGGTTTTGGTGATTACAAAGAGTAAGACCTTTTGATCTCAATCAGAGGTTGTGAATCAGAATGACAGTAAGCTATTTTCACCTAGTACTTCAAGATAGAATTTTAAAAAAGATTCCTGAGAGGTGAAATACTCAGTAGTTCCCGAATGCTAACAATGATATAATAGAAAATATGTTTTTTAAAAATATATTACTTGTGTTATTATGAAAGTAATATATATGAGTTATGAGAAAATAAATTCTCTCTCTCTGTCTCTCTGTGTCTCTGTCTGTGTCTCTGGGTCTCTCTCTGTGTCTCTGTGTCTTTTTGAATACAGGGCTTCTCTGGATAGCCCTGGCTGTCCCGGGACTCACTCTGTATACAAGGCTGGCCTTGAACTCACACATACCCCATCTCTGCCTTGAGTTCTGGTATTAAAGGCATGCGCCACCACCACCTGTGGCAAGATAAAGTATTTACCTCTGGTCTTATATTAGGTAAAGTTCTTTTATTCTCCCAAGCTAGATGATTTTAGGTTTTAATTTTTTTAATTTTATGTGTATGAGTGTTTTGCCTATATGACTGTGCACTGCATGTGTGTCTGGTGCCCATGCAGGCCAGAAGAACATGTCAAATACTCTGGGAGTGGAGTGGAGTTACAGACAGGTAACTAAGCCACATGTGGGTGCTGGGAATTGAACCTGGATCCTCTGAAAGAGAAGCCCGTGCTCTTAACCACTCAGCCATTTCTCCTTGTTTTATAAGTGAAAGTACCTATAGTAATTTGAAATGCTTGTTCTAGCAGAGCACAGAGGATTTAGTCCTATTTTTCTTCTTTAATTATAGATTGTAAATATGAAAGGTAAAGGAGAGCAAACTTTTTACTATTTTTGTGTTTCATTGAGCAATACAGAAAACTGTAAATTAGAATTATTTATAAAAATACTACTTTCCACTGCTTAACACATCATGACTTATAGTATGTTTTTAGTTTAAATATTGCCATTACATTTATATTACAAATATTAAGTAATAACTGAGATGTCTGACTCGAGGTATGAAGATAATTAAGATATCTGCAGGCTCTTAGATGTTAGGGGTCAGGGTAAGAGACACATATAACCATTTGTGCCAGGCATGGTGGGCACACCACAAACCCAGCACTCACAAGACAGACAAGAGGCTAATGAGCTTCAGCCGGCCTTGGCCACATAGGAAGACCCTATCTCAAAAACAAACGAACTAAAAGGTACCCAAGGAAAAGAGCACACTTTGCGTTTTGCCTCTTAACTTAAAAACCACAAACCATGAGCCTTTGTCCTCTGTCCATGTGATTTCATCCTGGAATCCCTGCACAATTCTAAAAATGACTAGCTGGCCATGGTAGTACTGTGTGATCCTAGCTCTGTGGATGCTCAGGCAACACTGCAAGACCTTTGCAAGACAGTCCCCAAAGAAAAAGAAAAAAGGACTCAGCGTTTTCTGGCCTCTTTGATTAGTGTCCTATGATTAGGTTATTAATGCTAAGGATCTAGAGATTTTGACCCAAAACCCTGTTAAAATAGTGGATTAGAGTATAACATTAAAACAAAAAGTAGGCCGGGCGGTGGTGGTGCACACCTTTAATCCCAGCACTCGGGAGGCAGAGGCAGGCGGATCTCTGTGAGTTCTAGGCTGGGCTGGACCGATAGCCTCCAAAACAATACAGAGAAACCCTGTCTCGTAAAAACCAAAAAAAAAAAAAAAAAAAAAAAAAGTAGATTTTATACAGGAACAGATAATAATATAAAACTAGAAAGTAGAGTAGATTACAAAATAATAGGTTAAAACTTTCTTTTGTTCTTGTAAAAGATTAAGCATATGCTCATCATTAAGTCTCATGCCTCAATGATACATTAGTTTCATGTTTTTTTAAATATATTTATTTATTTATTACATATTTATTTTTAAGATTTATTTATTTATTACATATACACTGTTCTTCCTACATGCCAGAAGAGGGCACCAAATTGAATTGTAGATGGTTGTGAGCCACCATGTGGTTGCTGGGAATCGAACTCAGGACTCCTGGAAGAGCAGTCAGTGCTCTTAACCTCTGAGCCATCTCTCCAGCCCCTAGTTTCATGTTTTAATTAAAGCAGTAAAACATGCTTTAAGGTGTCTTAAAAATCATGCACTATGGTTTATTGGAAATTTTGTTTGTTTCTTGTAAAAATTAATTTAGATCCTGGCAAAAATAAATAAATAAATTTCCAGCTAGCTGGAAGGCTCAGAAAATCCGAATTTATATGAAGCAATTAGGTAGCTGGATAATTTTGTATTAGATTTTTTGTAAAACCTATTATTAAAGTTTCTGTAAGGGGCTATCAAATCAATTTTAAAGTGTAAAGGAGGGAACAATTTGTCTAGCTAATGCATTCTTTTACATAGACCAAAACTATTAATCCTGATAAAAACACCTGCTTTCTTGTTGGATAGTGGTGGCGAATGCCTTTCTTTACTCCCAGCTCCTGGGAGGCAGAGGCAGGCGGATTTCTGTGAATTCGAGGCCAGCCTGGTCTACAAAGCTACACAGAGAACCCCTGACTTGAAAAATCAAAATAATAATAATAATAAAAATTTTAAAACTGCTTTCAAAAATCTTATGAAAAGAGTTTTAGGGAAATAAAATGAGGGGAAATGGATCTTATTTTCTTTCTTACTGTCTTTCAGTTGGTAGAGTGCTTACTTATCATGCCCCAAACCTTGGGTTTGCACCCCAGCATTAGATAAACTGGGCTTAGTGGTCTATGACTGGGGCCTGCTTTACCAAAGAATCTGTTGTCTCATACACACCAAACACCAAACAAGAATTTAGATTAATGATCAAGAAAAATGTTAAGTGTGTAAGATTTGGGTTTTGGGGAGGCCTTGGAGTCCTAGTAGCAGCGTATGGATAGATTCTGATGAGTAATCAACTGGAGTTTGGGGGCACAGAAAACACTAGGAGGCTATATTTAGAAGCCAACCACACATGTCTTAGAGCTAAAATAACGGAGTTTAGCTGAGCAGTGGTGGCACGAGCCTTTAATCCCAGTACTCGGGAGGCAGAGGCAGGGTTCAAGGTCAGCCTGGTCTACAGAGGGAATGTCAAGAGAGGCTCCAAAGCAACACAGAGAAACCCTGTCTGGAAAAACCAAAAAATAAAATAACAGTTTAGTTATTAGCCTTTTTCTTCTTCTTTTGGGGGAAGGGGAGGTCAAAGAATGAGGTGGAGTAGGTAAGGGATAGAAACCAGAGGTTTCCCAGTAAAGACTTTCTCATTGCTGACATTTAATGTGGAATTGTTTACATGAGCGTGGTCTGGGGGTGTAGGCCTATAATCCCTCACATGGGAGGTGAGGGCAAGAGAGACGGGAGCCCCAAGCCAGCCTGCACTACCTTGTCTCCAAACTTGAATTCTTTTATTAAGAATTAACGTCTTTCTGTAAACATATATCAGACAGATCACCTCAGAGAATCCGTGGACTGAAATGGAGAAAATCAGAGTTTGTGTTCGCAAACGGCCGTTAGGTGTGAGGGAAGTACGTCGTGGAGAAGTTAATATTATTACTGTAGAAGATAAAGAAACTCTGCTTGTACATGAAAAAAAAGAAGCAGTTGACCTCACACAGTATATTCTTCAGGTACAATCTTTTACTGTGTTTCAGACTAGTGTTATCAAGTATGTCAGTTTTCTGCTTTACATTTAAATGGTTGTTTTAAAATTCACCTTCTGATTCAGGTATTGTTTTTGTTTTTCTGTTTTGTTTTTTTGAGCCAGGGTTTCTCTGTAGTTTTGTAGACCAGGCTTGCCTTGAACTCACAGAGATCCACCTGCCTCTGCCTTCCAAGTTCTGGGATTAAAGGCGTGCGCCACCACCGCCCGGCCAGGTATTAATTTTTCAATATTTATTATTTATTTTGAGACAGGCTCTTACCTCCTTTAGAATTTACAGACGTCTGGCTGCTTCTGCTTACCAAATGCTGGGATTTATTGCATGTACCACTGTGCTCAGCTCTTGATTTTTATCTGAATTATTGGTACTTGGGGCCTTATTTAAAAATGTAGTGTGATTATGATATACATAGTTGAAAACCATAACTCCTGCATTATGCAATGAAAATCTACCATAGATTCACTTAACATGTTTATGTGAATTTTTAAATATTTTTTTAATGAGCATTGGTGTTTTTCCTACATGTGTGTCATTTTTAGGATGTCAGGTCCTTTTAAACTGAGGTTACAAACAGCTGTAAGCTGCCATGCAGGTGCTGGGAATTGGATTCAGGTCCTCTGTAGACCTGGCTGGCTTCAGACTCACAGAGATCCACCTGCCTCTGAACCTGAGTGCTGGCATAAAGGTGTGTGACACCACTGTCTGGCTGCTTTTGCTTTCTTGCTTTTTTTTTTCTCCCCTTTTGTTGTTTGTTTTTGAGTCAGGATCTCACTTTGTAGTCATGGCTGTCCTGGAACTTGCCCAGGGTGGCCTTAACTCATAAAGACCTGCCTGCCTCTTCCTCCCTAATGCTGGGATTAAAGGCACATGTCAACTGAGGTCTTGTTTGTTTTTAAACAAAATCTCATTATGCAGCCCTGGTTGACTTTAGAATTTGCTGGGCACCCCCTAGACTTTGCTAGGCAGGCATACCAGTCAAGACTTGAATTTGCAGTTGTCCTCCTGCCTCTGTCTCCTGCATACTGGGATTACAGGCATATGCTTTTCATGCTCAATGTGTAATGTCCGCTCATCACTGCTCAGTGTGAGTATTGTTGAGGGCAGGGTATGACTCTGTAATCCAGGCTAGCCTAAAACTTGCTGTATAGCCCAAGTTGACCTTAGACTCACTAATTTTCTGATTGAGCATCCTAAGTGCTGTTATAGGCAAGTACTCTTATGTCCAACTCTTGAGTAAGAGTCTTGTATTTAATTATGGATAATATGTTGTTAGGGATATGTTCCCACATTTAACATCTAAGGGTTTAATAAAATACTGTTAAGACACATAAAAAATTTCAAAGTGTGTATAAAAAGGTTTGGTGTTGAAAACAACCTTATTCTAAGCTAGCAGGTACCCTTGTACCAATTCTCATAGAGAAGCAACAAACTCTACAAATGAGAGAAAGTCATATAATCCATAGTACGTTAAGATTTTGGAGTCTTAGGGGCTAAGGAAATGGCTCAGAGGGTTACAGCACTGGCTGCACAAACATAAGGAGCTGAGTTCAGGCTCCAGCATCCACACAAAAAGTTGGGCATTGTGGCAGATAGCTGTAACCCCAGCCCTGGGAGATGGAAATGAGATCTGCTTTCTGACTGGTATAGTTTATTGATAAACCTCAGGTTTAGTGAACTATCCTGTTTCAAAAGATGAGACTCAGAGTGACAGAAAAACTCCTAACGTCAATCTCTGCCCTTTCTGTGTGCACGCATAAGTGTATACGCCTGTACGTACACGCAAGGACTTTGAACGCGTAGTTTCTGTTACTTTGAATTGCCTTCTTAAAAGAGTCTGCCTTCATAAACATTCTTACCGAACATTGGTTCTTTCTCTGGTTCTTTTACAAAACCCTATGACTGATAACAAGAAAAAAGTGTGGTGATTAATGGGCTGTGCTAACAGTTCACCTTAGTCAGCTGAAATATTATTCTCTTGCAGTAAATCCTGTAACATTGAAGTCAAATTGTTGAAACTTACCCCTTCTTTCAAACTTGCATTGTTCTTCCAAAAATTGAGTTTCACAGTGACATTTAGAGTAATCCAATAGTCTTTCTATGGGCAATAAATTACTAGGCCACAGTATAGCCAACCCAATCATTTTAACAGCTTCATCGATTGTTGATCAATGCATAGTCTATTAGGTCTCAGTGGGGGATACTTACTTTAAAGATAGTCTAAATGACCAATTAGTTGTAAGGCTAGTTAGTTCCACAGCTACTATAGCCAGAGTAATAGCTCTGCCCAATCACCATCTACCCAAGGCTTCCTTAATGATGCTTCAGTCACAGTAATTCCCTCCAGGAGACATCATATTATCTTTTGTATTTTTCCATTATCCCCAGACACAATAACTTTACTTTGTCACTGCCATTGATCAATATTTATCGAATACCCATAGATTCCATGGCATTTTCTCTGCTGTTGAACTTTGGACCTTTGATCTCATAGGTCAGAGTCCTTATCTGTCAATGCTATGATATAAAAATACTGTAAGGACTTGCATCCTCTCTTTTTTTTCCTTTCTCAAAAAGAAGTCTGTATCGAACTTGGTGCTAAATGAAAGTGATCCTAGATTCTTAACTCAGGGAGTAAAACAGAACATTGTATATGTAGTTAAATATCCTGTCTTCTTCAAATCAAGTATGTCTGCTACGTATCCATTAAAAATTTTATACAAGCACAGCCAGGCGGTGGTGGTGGTGGTACATTCGGGAGGTAGAGACAGGCGGATCCCTGTGAGTTCAAGGCTTGCCTATCTACTGAGCGAGTTCTAGGACAGTCTCCCAAGCTACAGAGAAACCCTGTCTCAAAACGTCACCCCAAAAAATTTTATACAAGCACAATAAGTAAAAGCAAAATTATTTTCCTTTCCAAATTATTTTTGTTCTCTTTTCTCTTTTTGTTTTACTTTTACACCCCCACCCCACCCCCCCACAAACCCTCCTGCCCTCAAATACTGGAAATTTAATTCAGGGCCTCACCTATGCTAGGAAAATATTTTATCACTGAGATGCATCCCAAGCTCTTCCCAACTTTCCAGTTTAAAAAAATTATTTTATGTACATATTTATTGAGGGAATATATCACTATCTAGTCTGCTGGGTTGGAATTGCCTTTGAAGCCCAGGCTATATACTTGTGGTCCTCTTGCCCTGGCAACTCAAGTTCTGAGATTACAGGCGTGTACTACAATGCTCAACTAGTCCTTTTCAATTTTTACAGGGCTCCAGGGAGTTGGCTAAGTGGGTAAGAACACTCACTGCTCTTCCAGAGAATCTGAGTTCAGCCCCAGCACCTGTGTCAGGCAGCTCACAACAGTGTATAAGTCCAGTTCCAGGGGATCCGACACCCTCTTCTGGCTTCTATGAGCACCCATATGCATGCAGTAGAGACTCATATATTTTATCAGTAAAAATAAAATTGTGCAGGGACTCTAGGATTTACCATATTGGCAAAAGGCCTGTGCTTTTCTGTTTCATTTTGGTTTTGGTGTGTGTTTGTTAAGGCAGGGTCTCACTATACAGCCCTGGCTGTTCTAGAACTTAACTCTGTAGGTCAGGCTCACCTGGAACTCACAAGATCCACTTGCCTCTGCCTCTCAAGTACTGGATTAAATGTGTGCCACTATGCCTGGCAGGGCTATGTCTTTATTTTCATGTGAAAAAAAGACACACATTTCTCAAGAAAGGCACTTTTTGTGGTTCATTGGTTGAGTTTTTTAGGGAGGAGTGAGTAGGGGTCAGACAGGATCTTTCTTACCATCTAGCCCTGGGTTTAATCCACAGCACCACATAAACCAGGCAGGATGGTACATTCATGTAATTCTAGCACTTTGGAGACAGGCAGAACAGTTCAAGGTCATCTATGGCTGTATAGCTTCAAAGTCATCTTGGGACACATAAGACCATGTCTCAAATAGTAATAACAATAATCAAATCCACTAAAACAAAAATTAGGACTTTCCCAATAGCTAAATAAATAATAACTCCAACTCAGAGTATCAGAGACACTGAAGATGGGCAAGTACAGCAACTATCAGGGTGCATAGTCATTCATCTCACCCATACTTTCCCTTAAAGCTCTGCTGTCAGACAGGTCATCTGTGTATTTGTGTAGATCAGTACCTTCAGGCGTGGGGTAGGATAATGTCTTTCTTTGTGCTCCTGCACACTCCTGTTAGAGTGTACATCCACCAGCTAACGGTGAATGTTTGTGGAACTACAAGTTAAACTATGCAACCTGCAGAATGAAAATTGATCCCTAGGATTCACACAAATTTTCATGTACATTGACCTTGCTTGGTCTGTAAGAAAATCCTTATAGAATTCATTTCTCTCCCAGAGCAAAGAGGATTGACTCACTCTTGCCTTCATCAGTTTACTTCTCTGTCTCTGTCTCTGTCTCTGTCTCTGTCTCTGTCTCTGTCTCTGTCTCTCTCTGTCTCTGTCTCTCTCTCTCTCTCTCTCTCTCTCTCTCTCTCTCTCTCTCTCTCTCTCTCTCTCTCCAGTTTACTTCTCTTAAGAGAGAACAAAAGTTTTCTACTTTAGTTGTTACACTGTAAGAACATGTAAGGACAGAGGTGGAAAGTAAAGACAGTCATTTAACAGTTTCTAGTTATTCATTTCTCTGAGTTTGTCAGTCAGTTACTATTGCTTTGAAATGTGCTTCTCGTTTCCCATGTGTTAATAGAATAGTGGTGGTGAAAAAACAAATGTGTTTCTATAAAAATCAAGTTTATTTTTCAGCATGTGTTTTATTTTGATGAAGTCTTTGGTGAGACTTGCACCAATCGAGATGTATACCTGAAGACTGCTCACCCGCTCATTCAGCATATTTTCAATGGGTGAGAGATTGATTCCTTCTTTCTTTTAGTTTTCTGTTCCCTATAAACTGTGTTCATTTACTAATATGTGGGTGCTTTTCTAGTTATTTTGAATTAAATATAAATTTATGTTGCCACTTAGATTTACCAAATATTGAGAAATTTGTAACATTTTCCTTTTACATTAGAGATACTGTTTCTCTGTTTCCTAGGAAAGTATAAGCTCTCAAAAGTTTAATTTTGTCAGTATCTTCAGAATAAAATAGGTAAGGGGTTATAATTAGCTTTAACCTTGGAATCTCTAAGCACTTGGGAAGCTAAAGAGGAAAAATAGACACAAATTCAAGGTCAGCCTGGTCTACACAGTGAGCTCCAGGAGCTCTAGCCAGCCTGGATTACAGTGGTAGCTGTCATAAAACAACAGCAGCAATGCAACAGAATGCAAAAGCAAAGGAAAGAAGAGACGAAATCCTTGGGATCTGAGCATCTTATGTAAAACAGAAACTTGGTGTTTGTTGCTGTGCGTGCGTGTGCGTGTGCGTGTGTGTGTGTGTGTCAGTGCTGGAATCAAACTCATGGTCTCTACATGTAAGGCAAGCATTCTACAAATTGAGCTATATCTCTAGCTCAAGTTGTGTTCAAAGTCCTTATTTCCTTATATTCAATAGTTGTCTTAAATAGTATTATAAGTTCTGTAAAATAATTCCTTTAAGAAAACACATCTTAGTTTGAAGATTTTTTACTTTTTGTGTTTTCATAATACAAAGTTCTTCTTAAGGAATTTTATGCTAGATTTCTTCAATGATTTCTTCCTGACTTGTTACTAAACATCTCTATGTAAATTATCACTTAGGTATTTATAAGTAATTCTAATTATTCTTCCCCAGAGGCAATGCCACTTGCTTTGCCTATGGACAAACAGGCGCTGGGAAAACCTACACCATGATAGGAACTCATGAAAACCCAGGGTTGTATGCTCTGGCTGCCAAAGACATCTTCAGGCGGCTGAAAGTGTCAAGAAGGGGCCTCTGTGTGTGGATCAGCTTCTATGAAGTCTACTGTGGACAGCTTTATGACCTCCTGAATGGAAGAAAACGGTACTAGATAAGAGTGGGCGCTGTTCTCCATGCACATCCACAGAATCCTCTGCTCACATGACTTTAGTGAGATGACAGTTTCCTGCATGGGATGTTCTTTCTTCCCCTTCCTTCCTTTTTCTGCTTTGAGACTGTCTGACTGTGTAGTCCTGTCTGGTATAAAACTTGCTATTTTAGCCGGGCGTTGGTGGTGCACGCCTTTAATCCCAGCACTCGGGAGGCAGAGGCAGGCGGATCTCTGAAAGTACGAGACCAGCCTGGACTACCAAGGGAGTTCCAGGACAGCCTCCAAAGCCACAGAGAAACCCTGTCTCGAAAAAAACCAAAAAAAAAACCTTGCTATTTTGCCAGGTATTGGTGGCACACGCCTTTCATCCCAGCACTCGGGAGGCAGAGGCAGGCGGATCTCTTTGAGTTCAAGGCCAGCCTCCAAAACAATACAGAGAAACCCTGTCTCGAAAACAAAACAAACAAACAAAAAAAAACCTTGCTGTTTTGTGTGGGCAACCTTGAACTTGTGTGGTCATCCTGACTCAGCACCCCAAGTGATGGAATTAAAGATTTTGCCACTATACATAACATTTTTTAAAATGTTAACTCAGCTAGAGAAAAATGTAAATTAGCCATCCATGAAGGTCTTCGGTGCTGGGGATTGAATCTCTAGCTCTGTACACATGTTTGCAGGCATTCTGCCATTGGACTACATCTTCAGTTCCCATTAATGTTGTTTAGAAGAAAAAACTTAGCATCTACCAAGACTCCTCCCTTTTTTTCCTGTGAAAAAGATTTTAATTTAGAAAGTCAGGAAATCAGCATGTATTTAAATATTTTCCCTTTAAATAATGTTAGCATAAACTTAATGACAGTTTTCCCGAAATTGGCAAAAAAATTTTTTTCTTCATATTCAATTTTTAGATTTATTTTTATTTTATGTATGTGTATTTAGCCTGCCTATATGTCTTTGTACTACATGCATGTTTTGTGCTTGTGGAGGCCAAAAGAGGGTATCAGAATCCCTGGAACTGCAGTTACAGACAGTTAGCTACCTTGTGAGTGCTGGGAATTAGCCTGAGTCTTAAATTACATTTTAATTTCTTTATTTTGTGGGCATGTGTGTATGTACATGTACATGTGCCGTGTGTGTGTGTGTGTGTGTAGATGTACATGTGCCGTGTGTGTGTGTGTGTGTGTGTGTGTATGTATGTAGATGTACATGTGCCATGTGTGTGTAGATGTACATGTGCCGTGTGTGTGTGTGTGTGTGTGTGTGTGTGTGTGTGTGTGTAGATGGACATGTGCATGATGGGTTGTGGAGGTGAAAGAATAATCTGTAGGAGTCATTTCTCTCTCTACTGTGTGCATCTAAGGCAGTGGTTCTCAACCTTCCTGATGCTTCCACCCTTCAATACAGTCTGTCATGTTGTCGTGAGCCCAGCCATAAAACTAGTTTTGTTGCTACTTCATAACTATAATTTTGCTATTGTTATGAATTGCAATATTAACATTAGTGTTTTCTGATGATCTTAGGTGACCCCTCTGAAAGGGTAATTCAGTCCTCCCCACCAAAAGGTTGCGATCCAAGGTTGAGAACCACTGACCTAAGTAAGGGATGTAATTCGTGCTTCTCAAGCTTGGTGGCAGGAGCTGTCCCACCTCCAACTTTTAACTGTTATCAGGCTTCAGCTTATTGTTCTTACAGCCTAAAAGTAATCTAGAAGTGTATCAGTTTATCTATTATATATGTTTCAAGAATAACCATGAGACTTAAACTGAAGCAGGCAACAAGGTTGTGAAGGTAGCTTTTAGCTGGAGCATAGACAGATGAGAGGGAGGTCAGAAGGTGAAGAAGGATTGACATAGCAGAGTAAACTAACCCTGGTACATATGGGGAGGAGTGGGTGGAAAGCTAGGAAAGCTTGACCAGCACCACAGCAAAGGTGTGCAAGCCGCTGTGGAGGTGGCCAGTGTGACATTCAGGCTCATGTGTGGGACAGTTCCTGTTGAGTAGGGAAAGGCTCCAGCAGGGAGGGCACTAGGGTATTGGGTGGCATAACTGAAGAAGCCAGCGGTGTGTGTAGACAGGTCATCGCACTGTTGACCATTCCAACAAATATCTATGCTGGTGTGTCAGTGTTCAGGGTTCATCTCTGAAGTATAGATGTCAAATGAAGGTAGTGCTACTCAGTGAATACTTTGGGCAAGAGTTAGTTTTCTCATTCACCATCTTTGTAGTGGTGTTTAAGTCTCCATGTAGCTCAATTGTGGCTTTGCTGTTAACCTCAGGCATCCTCATAAAAAACCCTTTGCAAGTTGAGGATGTAGTTGTGTGGTATAACACTTAATCTGTGTAGGGCCCTGAATTCAATTCTCAGGGGGAAAAGAGAGGGAGGGAGGGAGGGAGGGAGGGAGGGAGGGAGAGAAAAACTTTACCCAGGCATGGTAGCACTGACCTTGTAATGCCAGCACTCAGCAGGCAGAGATAAGAGAATCACAGTTTCGTCGGGTGGTGGTGGCTCACGCCTTTAATCCCAGCACTTGGGAGGCAGAGGCAGGCAGATCTCTGTGAGTTCGAGGCCAGGCAGGACCGACAGCCTCCAAAACAATACAGAGAAACCCTGTCTCATAAAAAAAAGAAGAGTATCACAGTTTCAAAGCCTGGCCTACACAGTGAAACTTTGCCTCATCTCCTATACCCCCAAAGCTCTCTGTAGTCATAATGCCTACTTCTTTTTAGTAAAAGTCACTGTACATGTAATCGTGTATGTGTGTGCGCATGCATGTGTTCTTATGAAAAGACAATATCCAGCTGTTTCAGAATATAACTCTTTAATGACGTATATCAATTACCACCCTGTATGTTTGTAGTCTTCAATAGTAAACAAAGGATGTGAATGTACTAACTCCTGATTGAAAGCTTTAAGTCTTTCATTAGCCAGATGTGGTGGTGCTTCATGCCTCTAATCCTAGCACTTGGCAAGCAGAAGTTATCAGATCTCTGTGAGTTTGAGGTCAGCCTGGTCTCCAAAGTGAGTTCCAGGACAGCTAGAGCTGTTATACCGAGAAGCCACTGAACCATCTCTTCAACCCCAGATTATAATTCTTGATTCCTGGACTTTAAAATGTAGCAGAGCATTTTAGGCCTATGACTCTTCTTGGGGTGAACAGCTTAGATGCCAAGTCTAGGTGGTGTGTTCAGGAGTGAAATGAAGAGGACTGGTTTCTTTTATTTCAGAAGCGTGAGCATTTCAGTAGCTGGTTACTGAGAGATTCCGGGCATTGACAAGACAGGTTTTCTCTTATACTGTGAAGTTTGGATACTTGCAATGAAGCTTACACTGAGAAAAAATATTTTTTGTTTGTTTGGTTTTGTTTTTCAGACAGGGTCTCACTGTGTATCCCTGGCTGGCCTGGAACAAGCTTCGTAGACCAAGCTGGCCTTGAACTCACAGATACATGTCTGCCTCATCACACACACACCTGCATCCCCCACTTTTTAAATTCATTCTCTCTCAATACCTCTTCCTGCTACAAATAGAATTTTACTTTTAGCCTTCATCGGTATCTTACTAAAGGTAACAGCCCCTAGTTCTTGTAGACCAGGCTGGTCTCGAACTCACAGAGATCCGCCTGCCTCAGCCTCCCAAGTGCTGGGATTAAAGGCGTGTGCCACCACCACCACCACACACAACTTTTTAAAGGAGAATATTGCCTAGTTTTTTGTAGATAGAGAATATCTGCTGCTGCTCCCAGGACTGTATGTTTTCTCTTCAAGAGAAGAGGAAAGCAGCTATTAAGTGGAGACCAGAGCTGTAGTTGATTAGACAGCAAAGATCCTGCATCCACCATTGCATTGGTTGCTAGCCAGGACTGTGTCATCCAGGGTTTGAAATATATATGGGTTTATGCTCATCCTTTTGATTTTAATCAAGATACTGATTTGTTAACAATAAGGAAGGACCATCATGGAAGTCTGAAAGTAGGGCTGGGGAGGGGAAGCATGTCCATCCCATCCAAATGGCAAGACTGTGTAATGGGAAATTCATAGACGGTGTGGGGAAGCGAGACACACCACAGTCTTTCTCATCTGCAGGCTTTTCGCAAGAGAAGATAGCAAGCATGTGGTGCAGATAGCCGGCCTTCGAGAGCTCCAAGTGGACAGTGTGGAGCTCCTCCTCCAGGTGAGTCATCCTCCTGCTCACCCCCACAGCAGCCTCAGCGCAGGGGGCTTCATTTTGCTTTCTAGCAAGTGTGATGGCTCAGATAGAGACGGAGAACATTGATGCCACTCACTTTTGTGAAATGTGAGCCACCTTTTGAAGTTAACTTATTTCTCCAGTGTCCTAGAGCGGGAGATGGCATGTGGCAGAAACTAATGCATGGCAGAGATGCTCTTGGGCCAGTTTCAGAGGCTGCAGTTATAATTTCTGTGGCAGTGGGCTGAGGAGAAAGCTGCTAGAGGCAAGTGTTCTTATTTTAAATAAAATTTTAACAAGCAATACTTTCACACGCTCTCAAAATCAGAGAATTGGAAAATACCCATTCCTTCCCTGTTCCCAAGGCAACTAATTTTATTAGTTTTTGTGTATCCTTCCAAAGAATTTTTGAAGTGTTACTTTATTAAAAGGTATCCATTTGTTATAACAAATATAATATTTGCTCACTGTTAAATCTAAATATTACAAAAATATATAAAGCGTTAGAAAGTAAGTGCCCTTTGACTATCCTTAGCACACAGAAACAGTCTCTCCGATATCCACTGTTAATTGGTTGTTGCTTTTTTCTTGTTCAGAGGTTATTTATTGATTTATGTACAAATTTGTTTCTAGTGAACCTTCTTTTAATGATGCTCAAGCCTGGATTTCTTGGAGGAGCAGATGCTGGGGATCAAACACAGAGCTGTACACTAACAAGCACTCTGCCACCAAGCTCTGGGCTACCCTGGCTCACCCCAGCTTTACGTTACGTCAGTCATGGCCCTTTTCTTTGCTTAAAAAGTAGCTTTTTACTTATTTTATTTTTTAATTTTATATATCAATTCCAGTTCTCCCTCACCCCACCCCCAATCTTCTCCTCAGAGTATGGCCTCCCATGGGAATCAAAGAAGTCTGTTGGATGAGGCCTGACCAAGGTCCTCCCCCCTGTGTCTAGACTGAGCATAGGAATGGGCTCCAACTTTTTTTAAAATAAGGTCTTATATAGTTCAAACTGCCTTCCAAGGATGACCGTGAACATAATTATGATCCTCAGGTCTCCTCAAGTAAAATGATTACAGGTATGAGCCACCATATCTAGCTCTTTGTTTGTTTGCTTGTTTGTTTGAGACAAGGTGTCTATGTAGTCTTGGCTGTCCTAGAGCTAGCTCACTATGTAGACCAGGCTTGTCTTGAACTCACAGATGTGAGCCTGCCTCTCCCTGCCAAGCACTGGGTTTAAATGTGTAAACCACCACACCCTACTTTTATTATGCTTTTTTTTTTTTTTTTGGTTTTACGAGACAGGGTTTCTCTATATTGTTTTGGAGGCTATCAGCCCAGCCCAGCCTCGAACTCACAGAGATCCGCCTGCCTCTGCCTCCCGAGTGCTGGGATTAAAGGCGTGCACTGCAAATGTTTACTGAACACTTGACTAACAAATATTTGGCTAGATGCCCCCCAAATATCGTGTGATTTAAGCTTATCTTCCAGATGAGCAAACTGGAGCTAAAATTGGAAGTTGGTCATCAGAGAGCCAAGGCCTGAAAAGCCAGCTTCCAGCCCAGATATTTCAACTCTGAAGCAACACCATTTTAACCATACTTCACTATCTATAGAGGATTATTAGGGATCTGTTTTTCTTTTTTTTTTTTTTTAAGATTTATTTATTTATTACAGATACAGTTTGTCTATATGCCAGAAGAGGGCATGCACCAGATTGAATTGTAGATGGTTGTGAGCCACCATGTGGTTGCTGGGAATTGAACTCAGGACCTCTGGAAGAGCAGTCAGTGCTCTTAACCTCTGAGCCATCTCTCCAGCCAAGGGATCTGTTTTTCTTAAGAAAGTAAAAACAAATATTCACTGAGTTAATACACTTATAGCAGTATCTTCTGGGTTGTTTGCTTAAAATCAAGCATTTACAGGCTGTTTTTAACCACAAATAGGGTGTTTGGGCAATTTTGTTACTGCTTTTTCAAAACAAAGTATTAAGAATTGCTGGTAGACTGGAGACATGGCTCAGAGGTTAAGAGCACTGGCTGTTCTTCCAGAGGTCCTGAGTGCAATTTCCAGCAACTACATGGTGGCTCACATATAATGAGATCTGGTGCCCTCTTCTGGCGTGCAGGCAAACATGCAGGCAGAGCATAGTAAATAAATAAATCTTTAAAAAAAAATTGTTGGTAATGGTGGTACATGCCTATAATCCTAACACTTGGAAAGCTGAGATAGGAGGATCATAAACCAGGCCAATCTGAGCTATATAATGAGACAAGGAGGAGAGGGCAGTTGAAGGGGAGACTTGGTTGTATTGGGGCTGGAGAGATGTTCAACAGTTAAGAACACTTATTGCTCTTGTAGAAGCACCTGTTAGACAACTCACAACCACTCGTAACTCTAGTTTGTGTTTATGGTAGATCCAACACCTCTCGCCTCCCTGGACACCTGCAGACACAGATAAGCAGAATTAAAAATAAAAATAGATCTTAAATACTGTGTGGAATGGTGAGGTATAATTAGTAAAACCCTAGTTTCTGAGTTTGTTTTTCTCAAGATAAATAGGTAGATTTTGCTTTCTCTGAGGGTTGAGCATATTTGTGTGCTAATCACATTCCTGTGTCTTGGGATCTGAAATCTGAAGGGAGATAACATCTGTGAGACTGTTGTAGCAGATCACGTAAAGGCCCCTTTCTACTGATTACAGAGGCAGGCACAGAACAAGCTGTCCAGAATGCCCTCTGCTATGGAGTTGGAAGGAAGGTGTTTCTCTCACATGTGTATTCTCTGTCATCTTCTTGCCCTACTTTCCCCCAGACATTCCCTGAGGAGTTTGGGGTGACTCTAGTCTTTAGGATCTTAAATGGGAAAGGAACAAACCCCTTAGGGAAATCTCTTTTCTTTCCTTGGAGCCACAGCTGTGCTGTTTCCTCCCTGTGGTGCTGCGGATCAAACCCAGGGCCACACACATGCTTAGCAAGCACTCTGTCAACTGAGCTACACCACCAGTGCCACAACTGTACTTAAAGGGCAGTCTGTGTCACATGAGCCTCTCTTGGAAAAGTATGTGGCATTGTCTTATCCTAAAATATTGTTCCTTTAAAAAGCATGAAGATTTTGTCTGTTAACTTGTTCCTGTTTTATTGTCATTGATCCCCCTAGTCTACAGAGCTACAATCAGGAAGACATCAGAGATCCAGGTGGAAAGTTATTATGAATTATGCATACATGACACAGTTACTCTCATAAACATTTACTGACTTGAAAGCACAGCCCTTGCTTACTTAAATGTTACACCTACTCTCTTGGATGTTATTGTTGGTGCCACTCAGGTGTCACCCATGTGTTTGTTGAAGTGTCATCTTCAAGTTTTACCCTCAGTTAACCCTCAGGCTCACTCTAGCATGGCTACCTGATACTGCCTGTACAACTGGCAGCTTCATTTTTCAAACAGACTTCTCCTTTCTTTCAGAAATTTATCCTTCCAGGTCTCTGACTACCTCAATTCATTAGTGCAGACACCAGGACTATTCTGCCTTTATGAAGAACTGCCTTGATATGTTGCCCATCTATGGATTCAAATTTTTTTTATATTCTTTAAAACAAACAACAACAAAAACTTTGGTTAGGGGAGCTAGAGAGATGACTCAGAGGTTAAGAGCACTGGCTGCTCTTCCAGAGGACCTTAGTTCAATTCCCAGCAACCACATGGTGGCTCACAACCATCTGTAATGAGATCTGGTGCCCTCATATGGCCTGCAGACCAACATGCAGACAGAACACTGTATACATAACAAATGAATCTTTAAAAACAGGAAAAAACCTGTTTTACCTGCATGCATCTATGTGATGGGAACTGAGACTGGATCCTATGCAGGAGGAACAAGTGCTTTTCTGCTGAGCCGTCTCTCCAGCCCCTCAAGATTTTGTTTGTTTTTAATTAATTAGTTAATTGATTGATTGACTTAAATCATTCCAATTGTTTTGTTTTAAAGATTTATTTTTGGGGCTGGAGAGATGGCTGATCGGTTAAGGGCACTGACTGCTCTTCCAGAAGACCCAGGTTCAATTTCCAGCAACTACACGGCAGCTCACAACTGTCTTGTAATTCCACTTCCAGAGGATCTGGCACCCTCACACAGACATACATGCATGCAAAACACCAATGCACACAAAATAAAAATAACATTAAAAAAGATTTATTTTCATTTGTGTTTATGTGTGTATTTGTGTGAATGTATGACATGTGGTTGCAGGTTCCCACAGAAGCGAGAAAGTATCAGATACCTTGAACTACAGTTACAGAGGAGTACAAGTTCCCACCCCTTGTGTGGAAGCTGGGAACCAAGCTCAATTCTCTTCAAGAGCAGCAGACTCATAGCCCAACAGCTGCTTCATATAGTCACAAGTTTTTATTCTCAAGACTTGTGATACCTGCTCCACACAGGAAGATGCACCCTTGGTGGATCTCAGTTGTGTATGGAAGGTAGAGACTGTACACAGTACCACTGCTTCTCAGATCACGGGTGCCATGCTCAGTACTGTGCCACAATTTTAAAGATCAGGGTAATAAGTTTATGTGTGAGTATATTTTCATTGCTTAGGCACTGGAGGCCTGAGACTTCTCCTTCCCTCCTCCCCTCCTTTGGGCCGAAAAAAATCCCAGTTAGTTTTGACTCCCAGGCAGAGGTAAGGGAGTACTGGAGTCAAGGGAAGTTACAGGCACATGAAATAACTCACTTCCCTGTTCATGAATATCAGGTTTGGCCTCCTTCATGCCTGCATTCTGGCAGAGCAGGTGGATGTGGTCAGTCATTCTGTGATGTGCACGTCTGTCCTCTGCTCCAGTTACTAAGATAGATGAATGCTATGAGACCTTACTCTGAGCCAAGTTTTGCCCTGGGGATCTTAGTTAGGCTAGATCCATCAAAGATATTAAAAAGAGTGTGTAAGATTAAGAAGTAGATTAGCTCTGGAGCCATTGAATATTTCCCACAAGATTAGTATTCCACGTTGTTCTCACTGCTGTGGGTACTTACTCTGTGTGATTTAGTGTCTGGGCAGACTTCCACCTGGACATCAGAAACTGCAGTATGCTAATAACATTAGATGCCTGGTCTCTGCTGCTTACTTAGCCAACTTTCTGGAGCCAGAGGGCTTTGTTTCCTCCCAGAGGAAGTCATCCTGTGCATTTTATTTCCAGGTGATCTTAAAGGGCAGCAAGGAGCGCAGCACGGGGGCCACTGGCGTCAATGCAGATTCCTCCCGATCCCACGCTATCATCCAAATTCAGATCAAAGATTCGGCCAAGAGGACATTTGGCAGGTGAGCTGGAACTATGTGCAGAATTGCATTGTTTGCCTTTCCATATGTAACTTTGAAATAAAAATGTTCTATATGAGACTCCCAGCCACCATGGATCTTTGTTGTTGCAGGGTTATAGAGGAAGCGTTGTTAGCCCTGAAATAAATCATTGTATAAAGTGCCATCAGTTGATTAACCATGAAGTAATGACCTATTGTTGGTCAACCCGAAGTTATTAAAAGGGACATTGATTACTTCTAAAGTGAAACACAGTATCAGCAGAGAAGCAGCAAGTACTGCATCTCGGAGAGCTTGCAGGCCATAAATGGGGGTGGGGATCCATTCTTCTTGAAAGAAGATGTAAGACAATTGATACATTCATTGCTTTTCTGGTGCTGTCTTAGCAAACTCTGCCATGCTGATGGATGAGCCTGTCTCACCTCTGAGTAATGAGTCCTTCTCTTCTTTTTCATCCTTTCTTGTTAGAAAATAGCCAATAAAAGTTTCTATTTAATTATCTAAGTAGTCACCTAACTGATTTGCATTATGGTCACTTAGCCTTGTGGGGAAATGCTTTATTAATTTCAGTCATACTTCCTCACAGCCGAGTAGAGCCAATAGGCATGTCTAAGCGAGCAGTGCTGGCTCCAGCTGACACATCAGGATCTTGTGATGTTTTTGGAAGACTAACAATAATGTCCTTTATTTCCTGAGCGTGAGCCATGCTCCTTTTCTTCCTGAGGTCACAAAATGTTGCTATTATGAAAATAAACCAAAGCCCCAAAGAATTCGTTCTTGCTGTGTCTTTTTTTTTTTCTAGGATCTCTTTCATTGATCTGGCAGGCAGTGAGAGAGCAGCAGATGCCAGGGACTCGGACAGACAGACAAAGATGGAAGGCGCGGAAATAAACCAGAGTCTTCTGGCTGTGAGTTGTTCGGAATCTAAAAATGATTTTATTTATTTATTTATTTATTATTTATTTATTTATTTTTGGGAGATTTTGCCCTAACATGAAGCCAGTTGTTGAGTCAGGGTAAAATCAGGAGACCACTATGCTTGCTGTCTCCTGGCAGTGGGAGTCCTGAGCTGGACTGCAGGTGCAGGCAGGCTCTGCCCAGCGCCGGGCTACTCTTCTCTCTCGCCTCTCTTCCTCAGTCCCTACCAATTAGACAGAGCAATGCTCTGCGGTTGCTAAATGGCTAAGAGAGCTTTTTCTTGCTCCCTAAAATTTAAAATGTACTTCAAGGATACAAACATAGAAAGTGATATATCTTTCAGATACTTGTCACTCAGTTTCAACAGTTGAAAAACTTAACCAGGGCCAGGAATGTGGCAACACTGGTAAAGATTCTTGCTGCCTAGCCTAACACCTGGGGTCCGATCTCTGGGACCCACGTGGTGGAAAGATAGCAACTCCTACAAGCAATCTTCTGACCTTCACAATGTGCACCATGACACACATGCCACCACATACAGGCACACACAAAATAAATATAAAAGCTTAAGAAACTAGAGGCAGGCAAATTTCTGTGAGTTCGAGGCCAGACTGGTCTACAAACCAAGTTCCAAGACAGCCAGGGTTATACAGAGAATCCCTGTCTCAAAAAAACCAACAACAGCAACAAAAAGAACCTAAGCAGCCCCACCCTTCCCATAGCCGGATTACTTTATTTTATTACTGCTGTGTGTGTACGGGCACACACATATCAGGTGTCTGGAGGTCAGAGGACAACTTTTGGGAGTTGGTTTTCTCCTTCCACCAAGGGTTCCAGGGGCCAAATTCAGGTGGGCATGCTTGTGTGGCAAGAGGGCTTGCCTAGTGAGCCATCTCACCAACTCCTGCTTAGATCAAAGGAAACCCTACTTTCAAGCCGTCTTATAAATAATCTATATATCTAAAAGAAAGGAGCCCTTTATTCTTTAGTGTATCCTAATGTAGCCACAATAGACTTTCTCATTCTCTTGTTAAGTATTTAAAAATCTCAGATTACCCCATAACTGTCTTTCACAGTTGGCTTAGGAAGATGAAGACACTTTCCGGAGTCTGCCTTGTTTTTCTATATCAGCATAATTTTTTAGGGTGGGGGCGGGGTGGGGTGGAGTGGGTAATCACTTGCCTGTATGTTTTCCCACGTTCTAGACATGGATAACTATATTCCATGTTGATGTTTAATGTGCTAGTCTGTTCTCTAGACTTCCTAAAAGTAGTTAAGATCTGTATACTTACTGTTCAGTTTTGCTAGGTTGTTTTTTAATCTATTTATTTTTCCTGTATCAGTGTTTTGCCTACATATATGTCTGTGTAATGTGTGCCTGGTGTAGGCAGAGGCCAGAAGAAGGCATCAGATCCCCTAGACTGAAGTTACAGACAGTTGTGAGCCACCATATGGGTACTGGAAATCAAACCTAGGTCATTGCTTCATTGTTATCAAAAGAAGCATACACTATATGCCCTTCTGGAAAATTTCCAGTGCTAAAAATGGTAGGTACTGGATTGATATTTAATAAAGAAGGATATTGCTGAGTATGGTTGTGTACACCTATAATAACATTCCAGTGCACTTAACAACTGAGCCGTCTCTCCAATCCCCCCCCCCCATAGCTAGTCTTACTTAAGATGTCTCCAAAGTAAAATACACACAGGATTTTGAAATTTGTTATCAAAACAACATATTAAATATCTCAGCAATATGTTCCCATAGTTACTATATCCAAAAGTAATACTTTGAATATCATAGGTTAAATAAAATATAATTATCGTTTGTTCCACCAGCCATGAGTGTACCTTTAGTGTTTCTTATGCCAGTTAGTTTGGTTTTCTCGACTCTGCATGGCAAGTTTGTCAATTACTCTCACCCTCGCTTACAGATTAGGTGCAGGTGCAGGTGGGCTGAATGAAATGGTCAAGTGCCCATGGCCTTTGAGCAAAATGTGTGATTCTGACATCATAAACTGTAGTTCAACCAGGAACAGATAGTATTTCCTTACTGCGGTCCCTCCTCTTTAAAATGAGATGGCCCACGCCTGCCATAAAAGCCCCACAACATGTGCTTACTCCATGGAACCCATGTAAAGGTGGAAGAAAAGGACCAACACCACGAAGCTGTTCTCTGACCTTCACATGTGCTCCATCCTGTGTACAAGCATGTGTGTGCTCACAGCACTAACAGTAATAGTTTGAAAGAAAAATAAAGGAGATGGTCGTGCGCAGTAGTCTCTCAGCACTTAGGTCTCTACTGCTGTGATAGAAACGCCATCACCAAAAGCAAGTTGGGAAGGTGGATGTTTTAGCTTACAGGTTACAGTCCATCATCAGGGGCCCAAGACAGCAGCTCAGTTGACATTCCACTTCCCAGATAGCTCTAGCAGCTGGAATGTAGCTTGTGTCAAGTTAACAAAAAACAGGACAGTACCGTTCTGTCTCTGCTGCTCCAATTTCTCCTACCCCAATCAGTTCATATCTAAATCTGCACTTGGATCCATACGTGTACATGTATGAGGGGGAGAGGAGAGAAGCTTAGGCTTGTTCTCTACTTGAGCTCGTTAGTAGTTGTGAAGAGGCAAAAAACAGGTGAGCCAGGCTTAACCACTGCATGAGCTTGGACTCGGGACTTGAGGCTGGGTTCCTGGGTTCATCAGTCTCACTGTGAACTCAGGGCTAATCTAGGATCACAGCCTCTAAGTTTAGGATCCTTAGCAAGACAGCACAGGATGGTGTTTTTCCAATCTTGCTTGGTTTTACTTGTTGAACAGGAAAAAGCAGGGCATTTGACTTTCTCTTAGGAAAATTTCCTGAGTGTAGTTTGCCTGTTTCTTTTACAGGGTCTTGACATTTGTTTTAATGTTTTACTTATGTGTATGTGTGATGTGTGTCACACATGTTTGCATGTCTGAAGAGGCCTGACTTAAGTTAATAAGTGGTTGTGAGCTGCCCAGGTTGGGTACTAGAACCAAACCCTGTCCTCTGGAATAGCAGCCAGCACTCTAGGTTTTCAGGACAGGGCTTCTCTGTGTAAGAGCCCTGGCTGTTCTGAACTGGTACACCAGGCTGGCCTCGAACTCACAGAGATCTGCCTGCAGAGTGCTGGGATTAAAGTGCACCACCACTGCCTATCAATCAGTCAGCACTCTTAACTCCTGGCTGTGCTTTATTTAAGAAAAGTAAGCTTCCTGGCCTGGAGAGATGGCTCAGAAGTTAAGAGCACTGGCTAATCTTCCAGAGGATTAGTGTTCAGTTCCCAGCACTCACATGGTGCCTCACAACCATTTATAACTCCAGTCCCAGGGGATCTGGTGCCTTTTTCTTGCCAGTGTGGTCTCTAGACACACACATGGTGCACTGACATATGTGTAGGCAAAACACCCATAAATATGTAAAGACAAACTTTAAAAGAGAAAGGAGCTTCTTAGGGATGTAGCAGCTGACTTTGCTTACTTTTTTTGTCATATTGAAATGCTGTTTATTCTCCCACTTTACAGCTGAAAGAATGTATTCGAGCACTGGACCAGGAACACACCCATACGCCTTTCAGGCAGAGCAAATTGACTCAGGTAACGCTAACCAAGAGCCTTGAGTTTGTTCTGGTTCATTCATTGTTCCTTCCTCCATTACTTTGTTAATTTAGTCAAGCATCCACTACTAGTAAGACATGATGCTAAACATACGGGGGAGAAAGAATTTCCTTTCAGGAGCTCTCAGTGTACTCAGCAGAGATATCTGCAGCACCAGGGCAGCTACAGTCCTAAGAGGGCATCCATGTTCTTCTTGATACCACCTGCTGTAGTCTCATTCTGTTCTGTGATAAAATACTCTGTCCAGTTCATAGTTCACCGCTGAGGAGAGTCATTGCAGGGATGTGAAGCAGAAACCATGGAGCACTGTCACTTACTGGCTTGCTCCCAGGCCCATGCTCCTCAGGTAAGCCTCCTCATACAGCCCAGGACCACCTGCCCTGGATGGTGCAGTGCATGTACCTGGGGCCTCTTACCTCATTTAACAAGACAGTCACCCACAGGCAGATCTGATCTGAGAAATCCCTTAATTAAGTCTCCCCTCTACCGGGCAGTGGTGGCACAGGCCTTTAATCCCAGCACTCGGGAGGTAGAGGCAGGTGGATCTCTGTGAGTTCAAGACCAGCCTGGTCTACAGAGCAAGTTCCAGGACTACACAGAGAAACCCTATCTCAAAAAAACTAACCAACCAACCAACCTAACAAAGAAAACCAAAAAGACTCCCTTCTCCCTTTTCAGATGACTGTATCAGTTTGACAGAGCTAACCAGGATGCCACCTTTCCATGTTTTCCCAGTGTAAAGGACCTACCTTACTGCAGGGGTGGTGGCATCTTCCTGAAGTCCAGCTACTCAGGATGCTGAGGCAGGGGGATCACTTGAGCCCAGGAGTTTAAGACCAGCCTGGATACACAGAAGACTGTATCTCAAAGCATTAAATACTGGATATTGTGGTGTGTATCCATGTTCCCAGCAACAAGCTGAGACAGAAAGATTGCTTGAGCCCGTACACTGGAGATCCCTAGGCAACATAATGAGATCCCAACTGTCTACCCCTGAGCAACAGCACAGTGGGGACTAGTCTGGGCTGTAGCTCAGTGGTACCACCAGATCCTAGTTTTAATCCTCAGTACCAGGGAAAACACATACATACACTACATACATACATACATACATACATACATACATACATACATACATACGACTTAGTAGAGTTTCTGAGTCTTGAACTGGGGTTCCTCCTGCCTCAGTCTTCTGAGCATTTAGGAATACAGGCCATGTTTATTCTGAGTAATACAAGTATAGGGACCTTTTTCTTTCTATTGTGATGGAAATGACTGAAGGCACCATTAGATATGTCAGATCTATATGAGCTGCAGAGGAGCAGCCTAATGAGGGATTTGCCTAGGAAGAAAGAGATGTAGAAGTTGTTACATTGTCTTGAGCTCCTTCCAACATTAGATCCTGTACACAGGGAAAAATAGATTAGGTCTTGGGAGCCAGGAGGAAGTCCTTGAGTGAGAGCCCACAGCAGCTCCACCATAGTCAGAATAAGTGCTCTCTGCACTGAATGTAACTTCTCTCTTTTCAACTGTGTGTATATGTGTGTGTGGGGGGGGAATGTAGTGGAGTGAGTTCAGGTGCCTGCAGAGTCTAGAAGAAGGTGTCTGATCCCCTGGAGCCGCAGTTAAGATGATTGTGAACCACTTAGTGTAGGTGCTGGGAACTGAACCTGGGTCCCTTGGAAGAGTCTGAATCCCTCTTAACCACCGAGCCATCTTTCCAACCCCAGTGAAGTTTCTGTTCACTCCTCACTCTGACATTGAACTTTCTGTTTTTAAATAAGTTTTCATCCCTAGAAAACATGCTTCTACTTTTAAAACGGAAAAATCTCAACAACACGTATAATATAGCGTCAAGCATGGTCACTCACCTTCAACCCCAGCACTCAGGAGGCAGCGGCAGACAGATTTCTGTGAATTTGAGACCAGCCTGGTAGTGAGTTTCAGGCATGCCAGGGCCACACAGTGAGACTTTATCTCCACTTAGGGAAAAAAAATAGTAGACGATAAAGTCTAATCGAGTTGACAACTGACTAAAGTTAACTATTGCAGTAGTGTAGGGAAGTTCCCACTTCTGGACCTTAACCTGCCCAGATTTTCTTCAGACTTTCTTAATCCTATGTACAAAAATGGTGGCTTTTCTTTTAAAATGATTTTTCCTTTATATTTATTTGTGTGTGGGGTTGTATATGAGCATGAGTTAGTTGTACATATCTTCACCCCTGTACCGGAAGACCTCAGGTGTCCTGCTCTGCTCTGTCACTTTCTTCTTTCTTTCCACCTTTTCCTGTGGGATAGGACCTCCCTCCCTCCCTCCCTCCCTCCCTCCCTCCCTCCCTCCCTCCCTCCCTCCCTCCCTCCCTCTCCTCGAGGCAGGGTTTCTCTGTATTGTTTTGGGGGCTGTCCTGGAACTCTCTCTTTGTAGACCAGGCTGGTCCCGAACTCACAGAGATCCGGCTGCCTCTGCCTCCCGAGTGCTGGGATTAAAGGCTTGTGCCACCATCGCCCGGCAGGATCTGTCTTTGAACCTGGAGCTAGACTGGTAGCCGGCCAGCTCCGTCACCCTCCATCTCTTCTCAGCAACACTGGATTACAGGGGCTTTCTACATGCGGGAATTTGAATTCAGGTCCTCATACTTGCCCTCACCCACTGAGCCATCTCCTCAGCACCATAAATATTGTTTTTTCTAGTTGCTTGTGTTTCTCTGAATACTGGTAAGTACCTTTAGCTTTGTTTATTGATTAGTTATTTCTTACTCCTTGTGTTAGAATTATTCTTACTCATGTGTATGTCTTGCCTCCTTGTAAGGCTATGTGCACATGTGTCTACGAAGACCAGAAGAAGGCCTCAGAATCCCTGGAACTGAAGTTATAGATGATTGTGAGCCACCAGGTGGTTGCTGGGAATCAAACCCAGACCCTCTGCAAGAGCAACAAGCACTCTTAACTACTGAGCCATCTCTCCAGTCTAATAATGTATTTCTTCTTTTGTGAATAGAGCAAGCTATGGCCAGCATCTTCACACATACATAATCAATATTCCCTTTGTTCATTGGCCTGCCTCTTGGTTTGACAGGTCCTGAAGGACTCTTTCATTGGCAATGCTAAAACTTGCATGATCGCCAACATCTCACCAAGCCACATAGCCACAGAGCACACACTGAATACCTTGCGCTATGCTGACCGGTAAGTTGGCTACAGAATATCAGGTTGTGTCAGACGTGATGGCACAAGCCTTTAATCCTAGCACTTGGGAGGCAGAGGCAGGTAGATAGATCTCTGTGAGTTCGAGGCCAGGACAGCCAGGGGTACACAGTGAAACTGTCTCGAAAAACCAAAAAAAGAAAAAGGAAAAAAAGATGTCAGATTGTGTGTGTAGGTCACATGTGTTTGTGCACCTGCTCTCAGACATAGTGATCTGGCATTCAACTCCACAGTCCTCTTCTTGGAGATACTGTACTAGCATTTTGAAAAATATGACCAGTGAGCCCTACATTTGTGTGTGTGGCAAGGGAAAGATGGCACATGTCCCTGTTCAAAATCAATGCCAAGCCAGACTGTAGTGGTGCACGCCTTTAATCCCAGCACTTGGGAGGCAGAAGCAGGCGGATCTCTGTAAGTTCGAGGCCAGCCTGGTCTACAAAGCCACACAAAGAAACCCGGTCCTGAAAAACAAACAAACAAACAAACAAAAAAGATAAAGGCACAAAGAGGAGGAGGAACTTCCCAAGAACTTGTTAAAAGTTGGTGGCAGAGGTACCACCTCTTGTAAGAAAAATTGCAGGAGGCGTGGGGGTGAGGATGTGTGGAAGTCAGAGGTAGACTTCTGATAGTCAGTGCTCTCTACCATATGGGTCTCAGGGGTCAAACTCAGATGGTCAGACGTGGCAGCAAGTGTCTTTACCACTGAACCATCTTGCTGGTCTTAAAGCTGTCTGGCTAGGCTTCTCTCTGAAAAGACTTTGGTGTCTGCCAACATCCCTCCCATCTCTACTTACAATTAGTCTCTTACAGAAGTAAGAACATGTTATAAAAATGTTTTACATTATGTATGTAAGTGTTTTGTCTGTCTGTATGTGTGTTTGTGCACACATGTATGCCTGGTGCCAGCAGAAGTAGTCAGATCTCCTGAAACTGTAGTTACAGAGGGTTGTGAGCCACCATGTGGGTTCTGGGAACCAAACCTGGTAGATCCTCTACCAAAACAGCAAGTGCTCTTAACCTCTGAGCCATCTCTCCAGCCCCAGAAGTAAGAACACTTTTGATTGTCATGACTGAGGAAAGTTGCTACTGGCATCTAGTGAGTAAAAAACACAGATGTTACTAAATATCTCCAATACACAGAGCCTCTAAAATAATAATGTCAGTGGTGCTAAGTTAGGAGATGCTGGGAATGCGTCATCTTTCCCTCAGTGGAACAAACACGGTCTGCTGCTTTTTGGAGGTTTTGCTTTCTGAACTGCCCAGAGAATTCATCTTCCCAGAGAAGCCTGGCAGGGTGTTTGCAAGACAACAGAAATCTGTGGGACTGTGGGTGAAGAGTAGAGTTGGCCTATATTCAAGATCCATGGCAGGCACTACATGAATATCGCATGATTGTGATTCCTAGCTTGTCCCTCACGTGGGGCTGTGGTGATTTCAGACTTCCACTCATATCCTGTTGTGTGAGTGTATCAGGCACTGCTCTCTTAGCTCAAGTACAGTGGGCACACATGTAAGGGAGGGTGTGCCTTCCCTTTTCTCTCTCCTGCACCAGGCTGTTTCTTTGGGCCAACATCAATCGGCTCCCGAATCATGACACGGAGACTAATTATTAGTTATGAATGCTCAGCCTTAGTTTAGACCCGTTTCTTGCTGTCTTTTATGACTTAACTTTCTCTTCATCTGTGTTTTACCTCAGGGCTTTTTACCTTCCTGTCTTCCTGCCTGCCTGCCTTTTCCTTCCTTCCTTCCTTCCTTCCTTCCTTCCTTCCTTCCTTCCTTCCTTCCTTTCCTCCTTCTTTCTATATATATATTACTTTCCTGATGTCTCCATGGCTAGGTGGTTGGCTGGCTGACAGCTGACAGCTGCCAGGCTTCTGGCCCTGGGCATGTCCCTCTCTTTGTCTCTCATTCTCTTCTCTCTTGAACCTAGATTTCTCCTCCTGCTTACTCTCTGCCTGCCAGCCCTGCCTGTCCCTCTCCTGCCTAGATGTTGGCCATTCAGCGTTTTATTAAACCAATGAGGTGGCTTAGGCAGGCAAGGTGAAAGGAATGTAGCACCTCTTTACATCACTAAACAAATGTAACATAGACAAATGTCACACACCTTCACATACTTAAATATTCCACAGCATAAACAAACGTGCCACATCTTTGCTTAGTTAAATATTCCGTAACACTCTCCCAGAGTGAGAAAGAACTTACAGTCCTTGCCATACTTCCCTTGTTTGTTGTTTTAATTCCCTGAAGACGGTAGGAAAGGAATCACATATACAGAAGAATACAGTTAACATGAAATGTTGTTTACAGGGTGAAGGAGCTAAAGAAAGGTGTTAAGTGCTGTGCTTCAGCCACCAGTCGACGGACGTCTGCAAACTCTTCTCCAAAACGAGTTCAGAGCTCCCCTGTTGCCCTGCCGGGGGACAAGTGCTCCCCCAAAAAAGTTAGACTAGGACTTCAGCAGTCACTTGCCGTGGCCTCAGGCCCCACAAGACTTAAAGTCCACCCTTTGGCCAGCCATGCTGCCAATATCCCCTTTGCCTCTGGACCTAAAACCCCCAGTAAAAGGGGTAGCTCCCGAGGGAGTCCTGCCCCGGAGTGGGACACAAAGACTAGCCCTTGGAAAGGAACCATGAGGTCTGACCATTTGATCAAAAAGGGAGCAGAAGAGTCAGCACCATTGTGCTCTGAGAAAAGTCACATTGTCAGCAAGACTTCTATTGGATGGGAGAGCCGGGCCTCGGGCCCAAGAGAAGGCCTACTGTGTGTCAGGATGCCTGCCAGAGGGAAGAAGGTGCAGCCCGTACAGCCCGTGCAGAAGCAGCTGCTGTCACGAGCTCGGCTCCCTGGCAACAGCCACCATTTAGAAGCCAGTCAGGACAGCAAGGTGGGCACACCTGCCAGGCTTGCCCTCGAAGCCTGGACAAACTGTCTTCCCCAGCAGAAGGAAAGGGAGGAACATTTGAGGATTTACCACCAGCAATTCCAGCAACCACCACTCCTCAAGCAGAAGCTAAAATACCAACCACTGCAAAGGCTTTTGTGTCAGCACAGGCCCTCAGAAAGTCAGCTCCCGAATGAGACTGTTTCTCCCCTACACTCTAGTCCTGAGAGCCATGATGGAGTCCAGGCTGAGGACCAGGACGACAGTGATTTCAGTGAGGATTCTTTCTCACACATGCAGAAGACCACCTTGGAGAAGAGCGGAAGCTCATTCTTCCTGCATCAGAACAGGGAGCACAACCCTGAGGAGCAGGTGGCAGAAAGGCAGCAGTGTTTGCGCTTCAGCTCTGAGACGGATGGTGATGAGAGAGGGCCAGCTGACAGCTGGGTGTGTTCCAAGGAGCCTATCATAAACCACAGAAAAGGAGCATTCAGTCAAAGCCACAGCCCCAAAGAGGAAGACTCTGCCTCCTCAGGGCCTTCTCCTAAGGACAACCTGGCCCAGAACCCTTCCTCCTCACAGGTAGATTTTGGACATCACCAAGAAATGGGTGGAGCTCAAGCCTTTGACATCAGACTGGAGGCCTTCAGCAGTGAGGTTCCTGGGCAGGCTGAGAGCAGCTTGCCATCCCCAGAAAATGGGCTGTCTTTCCCACTATCCCACATTGCAGTTTCTGGATCCCCAGACCTAAGAGACAGAGAAGTCAGTAAAGACAAAATGACACAGGCACCAGGAACAGTGAGCAGTAGTGCTCCTTTCCAAGAAGACTCTGAAGAGCACTTCCATGCGTGTTCTGCAAATGCCTCTGGACTCATGGCTCCTCTCACTATGTCCCTCCTGGAGACCCCCAATCAGGAGGACCCTTCTTCCTTGGAGCAGGTTGCCCAGGATGGAGCTGGACATGGTCTCATGGCTGAGATCATAGGAGGGCCTGGGGTGGGACATACAGTATTATCTTGCACTCAAGAGGCTGCCTTGCCAGTGTCTTCAGCAACTGCACACCTATGGCTGTCCTCATCTCCCCCTGACAATCGGCCTAGTAGTGATCTTCCAGCTCTGTCCCCGTCACCTATCCATCAGCATTCACCCGACAACCCGTCTACTAGGGGGGCCTGCCAGAGCAGAAGGCCTGCACTCCTGCCCCACAATCATGTGGGTGGTGATGCGGACGATGACAGTGCTGACGAGACTGAACCGGGGCGCTCCTTGTCATTCCCAAGGAAGCTCTTCTCCAACATGCACGCTGGGGTGCCCTACTCCTCACCTTTGCTCGCCTCATGTACAGGAAGTAGTCGTGAGGCTGGCAGTCCCTGGGCCCAGGAGAGAGGGCATCCTGCAGGGTTCAGCTGGCAGGAGGGTGTTTCCTCCACAGACGCCGTCAAGCCCTCAGACGAGGACATCTTGTGGCTCAAGCACAGGCCAATCTCTTTAGACACTCCTGTGGTCCCCAGCTGTTCTCCCAAGGCCTCAGGGACACTCTGTCCACTCACGCTGGAGCAGGCGAAGTAAGTTGGACTTTGTTTTTAAGGCTTAAGCCCTTCTAGTGCCCTTCCCAGTTTGCTTGCCTCTTCAGTGAGCAAATGCTGTTCCTGCCGCGTCCTCCCTAGCCCCTTGACTAGTTATGAACAGAACAGAGGAGAAAGCAAGGAGCGGCCAGCTGACCTTACCACCCTGGGCAGAGGCAGGGCCTTGTATGAAAATGATGCTCAGTTTCCAAAGGCTGTCCCTGAGTGGGAAGCCAGAAGGGTCAGTTTCTTCCCTATGTTCCTAGGCAGGCGGTCATCTGTGCACACCAGGAACAGCTGGATGAAATGGCAGAGCTGGACTTCAGGGAGGAGACCTTAATGAACCAGATGGATTCCAGTGTAAGTAGAATAGCCACATGGGCTATTGACAGCTAGCTTGTGGTCTGATGGTCACGTGTGGTATTTATGACATCAAGTTCTGCTGTTGTGCACTGACAGTTGGGGCCTGGGAGAGGTGGGTGCTACACTGCTCGGGACCAAGCTAACTGGTTTCCAGCCTCTGTCCTTAGCCATTCTGCTTTCCTGAAAGCTTGTCTAGGCCTCCCTGTGATTACTGTAGCAGTGGCCATTTTGCTGCTTACAACCTGTAGACCCCAAGCATTGTTTATAAGCGCCCCTTTGCAGAGTATAGCCTCTACTTATGAAGGCGTTCCCAACAAAAGCCATAGAAACTTCAAAGGTTTTCTCCTGGGAAGATGGACTAGGGGTCTAGAGAGAAGGCTCAGCAATTAAGAACACTCATTGCTCTTGTAGAGAACCCAGATTTGGTTCCTAGTACCCTCGGGGTGATCCAACCATCCAGAACCCCAGTCTCAGGAGATCTGACATCTTCTAAATCCATGGGTAGTACCAAGTACATACATGGTATAGAGACAAAACATTCAAACAAACTTTAAAAAAACTTTACACAAAAACAATCTAGAAGAGATGGTCATTAAGAGAAACACCTCCACTTTCTTGTTTGTTGTCAGGATTTTGAGGATTTCGTGACCCAGCTGGACAAAGTCCTGGCCCTGAAGTCCAGGTGCATACAGAGTCTGAGAAGCCAGCTGCAGCTGTGTCTCACCTGCCACAGGCCCGCTGCAGCTCCCAAGAGAACCAACCGTGCTGTCTTAGAGGAAGACTTACCCTGGGTTCCTGCGGACAACCACTCTCTGTCCTGCCTCTAGCCACACATCACACATGGCCTTGGATGGCCACACTACTCAGGGACAGACCTCATCTTACCTCATTTCCAACTATAGGACCCCCTATAAGAAAGGACCAGGCCAAAGACCTTCATGTCTCCTTCTCTTTGGGGCTCAGAGTTTGCTTTGTTGACCATGTCTGTAGGAATATATTTGGTCTAATAACGGTAGATGTTCCTAAGTTTGAGGATGAAATCGGGGTGTTCAGTGGTAACCTAGGGGTCAGAGATTAGGGACGACATGCTCAGTCAACAGCCGTATTGCCTTTCTCCTTCAAAGACTACAGCATTGGTGCCAGGCAGGCAGTTGAGTGAGCGCCTTCCCACCAAAGTGGAGATTTAGTTTTGGAAAATATAAACTGAATAGCTCGATGCCTTAAGAGCAACTGGGTTGGGAGTTAGGCTTTATGCTTGCGGCTCCTTTCCCTGGAACCCAGCTTTGAGATTAGGGTAGGGGCTGTTGGCAGCACATTTTTCTCATTTTTGTTAAGACAACAGACCTATGGACAGTACCTACTAGGCCTCATTTTTTGTGGCAAAACCTAGCTCCTGTCTATGACTCCTCACTCCCTGTCCCTCTGAATAATTATGATGGAGGATCTCAGATGAGTCCATTGCCTAGACTGAATTTCCAGGACACCTGTGCCAGCCACACTCAAAAGCCAGCCTTTGGTGTCTTGGTAGAGTGTGTAGTCAATAGTCTGAACCTTCAGATACAGGAACAAACACACTGTACTCTTCAAATGAATTCTTGCTGTATACTGTGTGTAGGGCAGGTGTTACCCACATTCTCTGCTGTTTCAGTGGCTGATTTGGCTAGACTAATTAGACAAGTCCCATGGGTCATCCTGTCTCAGAGCTCTGTATAGACCAGCTTATAGAGATCCGCCTGCCTCTGCCTCCCAAGTGCTGGGATTAAAGGTATGCATGTAAACCATGACATCCAGCTGGCCCAGGCTTTCTGCATAGGTGCATTTACTGATTGAACCATCTTCCCATCTCCTGTATCACCTTTTAGTGACAGAAAGCACCTCAGGAGCCTCCAAGAGTCCATTAGTTTTAGAGGGCTCCCTGAGTTAACCTAGGTTTCATGTGTTACAGTGTGGACCCAGGAGCCATTATCATATGAATTTAAGAACTTTCTAAGGTTTTAAGAGTTATGTCTAAAAGACCAAGATAAACCAGGTATGGCATTGCTCACTTGTAATCCAGCATTTGGGAGGCTGAGGCAGAATGAGGACCTTGAAGCCAACATGGGCTGTATTAAAAGGCTCTACAGTGGGCCACAGGCAGTGCTTGAACTAGCCACCAGAGGGCAGCCTGTTCCTAGCTTAGGCCTGTACAGAACCTCAGATGGCCACTAAAAACCACAGACCAAGAACTCCATGGGATTCTACTAAAGGTAAGAACTAGAAGCTTTAGGTATTCTGTCAGCTGCACCAATGCCACTGAGAACTGAAAAGCACTTTAGCCTTGCCTGTGGCTGTATTCATGGTGGCATATACAGGCAAAAGGAATCCTCCCCTCCCCCAGGAGCTGAGGACCAAACCCAGGACCTAGCAACCCCAGATTTGTTTGCTTTTGTTTTTCGAGAGAGTGTTTCTCTGTGTAGCCCTGGCTGTCCTGGACCTTGCTAGACCAGGCTGGCTTGAACTCACAGAGATCCACCTGCCTCTGTCTCCCAAGTGCTGGGATTAAAGACGTGTGCCATCACCACCCAACCAACTTTTCATTTTTTAAAGAATACCTTGAAGCCTAGTCTGCTCCTCTCTACTTTGGCAAGAAAGCATATGCCCTTGGTCCAGAGACTGCACTAGATCAGGCTTAAAGGTTTAGATCTTTGTTTGGTCTGTATTTGTAAACCAAAAAACCAGAGAAGACAGTGTGGCCAGCTTTCGGGTCCCACAGGCCTCCAGTGGGAAGACTGCACTGAAATGCAGGCCGGAAATGGCTGGCACCTGCCGCCGTCCTGAGTCAAGCTGTTTTCCAAAATGAAGAAGTTGAAGAAGCACAATGGCGCCTTTTAGGTTTTTATTAGTAGTTCTCTGAAGAATCAAAATAGTTAGCAAATTGTTTTAGATTCAAGACTGTATTATATCCTTTGTATTTAGATCTTTAATGGTGTAGAACATAATACAAACAAACCAGAGTGGTTTCTATGCCTAGGTGTTACTCATTGTGTCATCCTAAAGCAGGGCTGGCGGAGGCTGTTCAAAAACTGGGGTTAGTGCTGAGTGACTAGTCGTGGCCTGTTTGCTCACTGATTCAGTGTGCTGAGAAGGAGCCAATGATTCCTCAAATTGACACCAGCCTCAGTGCAGGGACTCCACTGCCCTGCACAGTAGAGGATTATGGCCTAAGCCAAAACAAACAGTCTGGACAGGGACACATGGGAACTGCCTAGCAGAAGACTTTGCCCCATGAGGAAAAGTGCATCTTTGTACCGCAGAGACATCCAGAACCAGTGTAACACTAAGGGCTGCTGGGGAAGGTGGGCCAGGAAGAACCAGACTCAGGTTAGAGTTCAGTCTGCCTGTGGTATGGCAGAGAGAAAAGCATCTAGCCCCCAAACAGCAGCAGTCTGCCCCTCCTCCTCCTCCTCTTCCCGGTCCTCTTGGGAGCCAGGTCAGGTTTTGGCTGAGGAAATAAGAGACCCCAGAAAGATCCAAATACTCTTTCTGAAAGGCCAATGTGGGAAGGACACTTCTCAAAATACAGCTACGTTTAATATTGAAGGAACCAGTATGGCATTTGTACGCTCAAATCTTCCTACCTTCCCCCCAGCATGGGCCAGGGCTCACAGAGACTAGCAAATGTCATCTCCATGCCTGACCTCCTAACCCCAAAGAAAATCTGGAAGCACGTCCCTTCTTCCCCACAAGTGAGCTGTGCAGGGCCTCCTGGGGGATGGTGTTGCTGTGGCAGGGCCATGACGGGGCCTAGTCTCAGCTGGCTCCAGCCCGGGCCATGAGGTCTTCCAATGCATTGTCCTGGTCATTGTTGTGTAATAGCAAAACTTCCTTAATGTCTTTCAGTTCAAAGCCCATTTCCTTAAATTTGCTCATCAACTGAAGAAACTCCATCATCTACGGGATAAAGGAGAACACATGGTAAAAAGGGCTCAGCTGAATATAGAGGTACACTGCAGGTGAAGGGTCTATATCCTTCCACCTGACTCTTGTGGATCTTTCTAAAGTTCCCTAGCATGCACAGGTAGGCTGTGAAGCTAGCCTCAACTCACTTGCTGACCTCTATAAGAGTTCCACTGCCCACATGAATATCCCACAAGACAAGGTATCACACCCCTAGGGGTTGCTCTTTAGGTAAAAGAGAAGGCAAAATTTCTAGCAATGGCCCAAAGCTATCCAAAAGCCTGGCTTTTAGCCCAACTCAATTTCCCCTTCCTATCACTGGGACTCAGCTCCACGCTTCATCTATGGTAAGGAAGGACTCATCTTGTCTGGATACAGGGGACTCCGTCTTTGACTGCTTCTGCCTGCAGTCACTGGTAAGGAAAGGGGACAGAGGGCCAAGGGAGAACACCAGGACAGACAACTGTTCCATGAATGTTCAAAGTCCTACCTTTTCTTCTGAACACTGGTGCATTTCCAGAGCCTCTTCCACTAAAAGAGGGTCAAAGCCCTTCTCACAAAGCTGTCCATGTACAAAGAGATAATCGAGAATCTAAGGAAAGAAACAAGGTTTGATGTCCTACTGCCATGCCTCTGTGCTGAGTTTTAGACCCTCTGTGTGAAGTCAGCCCTGTCCCGCCCCAGTCATCAGATCCTGGTCAGTCATTACTTGGTAAACAGACTGTATACTTTTCTAGAAATGAGCAGCCACTTCCCAAAGGAGGTGCTGTCACAGCTGACTCAACTCCCAGAATGTCAACTCAACACTCAGGGCAAGATGATAGTCCTCTTCAAATATACAGCAGATGTCAGGAAATGTCCCCAAGGTAGAAGACGTTATTCAGAACTTCCTGTGCAGCCATGACAAAAGTTTCTGGAGGTAAGCCAGGAGTAGTAGACCACACCTATATGCTAGCACTCAGAAGGTGGGAATGGACCATGAGCTCAATGCTAGCCACAGCTTCCTCAGTTCCGAGCAGTGTGGGCTACATAGGACCTTATCTCAAAGAAGAAAAGGTCTCGATTGAGACATTAACCGTACCATATGCTCATTTCTGTCCTCTCTGGACATAGAAACAAAGGGGTGGGTGACGACAGCAGCTCCAGTGCACACCCCCAAGCTTTCTCCCAGCATAAACAAGCACTACCACTGAGCTTCAGCTTCCCTGACAGTACCCACGACAGGTCCCCACCAACACGGGAGGAAGCTGGAGTTGCAGGCGATCACAGCCCTGGCTTGAGGCCACCATGCTCCTCCCCCACACTGCAGATCAGCACCTCACCTGCTCAATATTCTCTCCTTTCTTCTTCATGGCTCTCAGGACACAATCGTATGAGTAGCCCATGTTGACCACTGTCTCCACACACTGCCGCTCACTGGGAGACAGTGCCTGCAGTTCCAAATAGGCCTGGGGACAGCCGGGCACGTTGGGCACTTGTGACACTGAGAAATTTAGAGGGGTGACCTGGCAATAGAAAAGATCAAAGCAGATGAGCTGAGGCCCAGGTTGCTGACCAAGCATCGTGGGATGGAAGGAAGAGTGGTACCACACACTAGACAAGGAGAAAAGCTAAAGCGCCTACAGCCCTGGGAGCACTCGCCCACAGCCCCTGCATGTAAGAATTCACAGACAACACATGCTGCTCCATGCCCTGATCCATGACTTAAAAAGCAGTCCGGAGTTTGAACCTACCTACAGGATTAATGCTACAGCAGGCTGTGCAGACTTCTAGCATTCCATCAGCCCTGCATCTCAAAGTCCTTAAGGATCATTCACTTGAAACTTTCCCACTCTGGAACTGACTCTGTCCTAGCCTCACTCCTGCTTATCACTGGTCTGGGCTTCCCATGCAGTTAGCGCAGGGCATCAGGATTTTGGGGGCACTTACCGTTGCCCCACACAACATACTCTGCTTCATTCCTTGCTAACGCTGCTGTCCTCTGGAACCAAGACACAGACTGAACTCCTGGCCACAGTATACTTACACTAGCTACAAGCAGCTTGCCGCCTGCCACTGGAACCTCCCTAGTTCACATCTGACTGGTTACATCTCTGATGTAAGGGTTAGCGCAGCTCACTCCTAGACCAAAGGACCCATTCACCTTGGGAACAAGACCACAAGCTCAGCTTCCAAAAACCAAAGAAAACAGTGTTTCCCCTTGTTTTCTTTTTCTATTGGGTAGAGTAAAGCAATGAGTACTCCTCTGGCCTAAAGTAAGTTCTGCTATAACCAGATTTTCTCAAACTTTGCTGAGGAAAGCCAGGAAGGTCACAGGCCTGTAGACTAGCAACTTCCATTGAAATATGACCTATAACATACTCTAAGCAGTCCATTTCCAGGGGCTTCAGCGAGTTATAGGAGGCATGGAGAGCAGGGGGCTCCTCAATCTAGCCACTTTGCAGACATAAGATTATATAAGCCTTCTCAAGACCAGGCTTTGTGGGCTCCAGAGCACCAGCTTCTGAAAAAGTCAAGGCTGCTCTCACATGAGCCCAGGCAGGATTATTGTAAAACGTGTGCCTCTCCCCTTAAAAAGCCTAAGAGTCAGGCGGTAGTGGTGCAGATCACTGAGTTCCATGTCAACTGGTCTACAGAGTGAGTTCCGGTACAGCCAAAGCTACACAGAGAAACTTTGTCTCAAAACAAAACAAAGGCTGATAAAATTCTTTGATCTAGCTGTATATACCTCTAGAGACCTAGTCTTTGGGAATACTAAAATGCAAACCTAGGGGCTGGAGAGATGGCCACCATGTGGTTGCTGGGAAATGAACCCAGTCCCTCTGGAAGAGCAGCCAATGCTCTTAACCACTGAGGTATCTCTCCAGCCCCAGTTTTTACTTTAAAAATAGGGTCTTGGGGGCTGGAGAGATGGCTCAGAGGTTAAGAGCACTGGTTGCTCTTCCAGAGGTTCTGAGTTCAATTCCCAGCAACCACATGGTGGCTCACAACCATCTGTAATGAGATCTGGTGCCCTCTTCTGGTCTGCATGAATACACAGTAATAAATATTTTTTTAAAAAAAAGGTCTCACTATGTAGACCTAGAATTCTCTGAGTAGATCAATTTGGCCTCAAACTCACAAGACCTGCCTGCCTCTGCTTCCTCTGTGCCCCAATTAAAGGCATATACTGCCACACCATGCCCAACCCAAAAGGTTTTTAGATTTTTGTTTGTTTGCCTGCATTTATGTATGTATACCACACGCATGCCTGGTGACTGCAGAGCCCAGAAGATGTCGTGAGATTTGGAAGTGGAGTTACGCAGGGTTATTAGCCATCATGTAGATCCTGGGACCAAACTTGGGTACTCTTTAAGAGCAGCAAGAACTCTTAACCATGTCTCCAGCTCAATGCATGGGATTTTAAATACTAGGACAGAGAAAAGAATCCTTTCTTTTTTCAGATATTAGGTCTGAGAATACTTCTGAACAGAGACAAATTAATGTCTCCACATAACATTTTAGTATCAAACAGGCACCATACTAAGGAGACCCTAAATGGACAATGTTTAAAAGGATCCCTTATTACTGGGGCTTAGGAAGGAGGAGGATCCTGAAGTTAAGGACAGCCTGAGCTACACAGCAAGACTAACTCCAAGAAAATAAGAAAGGATCCCTTGTCAGAATTACTAATACTAGAGTATTTCAAACCATCAAGGTTAATAATCCATGATTATGAATAACATGGGTACAATTTTGTTTGTGTGGTGTGACACTACTACTCAGCTACAACATCATTACTGCATTTAAGCAGTCCTTTCTTGTTAGGAATTCTTTCAGTAAAAAGATAAAATGTACATATTGGCAAGCATAAAATACAGTTTTAATTTTTCATATTCAGTGACTAAAAACTGGGCTAACCCTCAGCTTGGGGAGGGCCCACCACAGTAACTAATAAGACATATCTCTAGTAAATGTGAAACTCTCCAGAGACTGAAGGAGGGTCTCAAAGGCTTCTACAGGTGGGAGCAGACGTGCACAAAACCAGCCTGAGAATAACTGAAATGCTAGAGCTGTGGGTTTCGGTG